CCACTGGTCCCATACTAATACCCCTAGAACCAAATGGAAAAATCTGATAATCTTTTCTCCAAACAACCTCCATCACAGTCCGATAATACAAAYAAAGGTATTATTTTATTATCAAAAGATATTGTTTGTTTCCAAAGGTTTTCAGATGTCTTTATATTAAAATTTGTCATTTTAACTCCATCTTGGTAAATTTTTACCAAGTTAGGTGATGGTTACCAGGTTGGCACATTTGGCACCTTATTTTCCAAGGGACCATTAAGATTTATTTTTTTTTGTTGAAGAATAAGATAAAATTCATTAAGAAAAATAATACATTAGGATGGTGATAATCCATAAAGAATTCCAAAAGCCCAACTTTGATCTCACAGATCCAATACTAATACCTGTACAATCGAATGACAAAATCTTATCATCTTTTCTCTAAACAACCTCTATCACAATCCAAAAAACAAACCGAAATATTTCTTTATTGTCACAAGATATTGCTTCTTTTCTATGGCTTTTGCATGCCTTTGTATTTCAAATTGTCATTTTAATTCTATCCTGGTAAAGTTTTATCAAGTTAGATGATGCTTACCAGGTTGGCACATTTGGCCCCATCTCTGCCAATGGGCCATTAACATATGTTTTTTTTGAAAAATAAAACAAAATTATTTGAAAAAAGAATACCGTAGGAAAGTGATAAAGCATCACCCAAAGAGGAAATAAACCTAAGAGCCCCACAATCATCCCATTGGTCCCATACTAATACCCTTAGAACCGAATGGCAAAATCTGCTTATCTTTTCTCCAAACAACCTCCATCACAGTCCGATAATACAAACCAATGTATTATTTTATTGTCAAAAGATATTGTATGTTTCCAAAAGCTTTCGGATGTCTTTATATTAAAAATTATCATTTTAACTCCATCTTCGTAAATTTTTACCAAGTTAGGTGAATGTTAACAGGTTGGCACATTTGGCACCTTATTTGCCAAAGGGCCATTAAGATTTGTTTTTCTGTTTTGTTGAAGCATAAGATAAAATTCATTAGGATTGTGATAATCCATAAAGAATTCTAAAAGCCCAACTTTGATCTCACAGATCCCATACTAATACCCGTAAAACCGAATGACAAAATCTTATCATCTTTTCTCTAAACAACCTCTATCACAGTCCAAAAAACAAACCAAAATATTTATTTATTGTCACAAGATATTGCTTCTTTTCTATGACTTTTGCAAGCCTTTATATTTCAAATTGTCATTTTAATTCTATCCTAGTAAAGTTTACCAAGTTTGATGATGCTTACCAGTTTGGCACATTTGGCCCCGTCTCTGCCAATGGGCCATTAAGATATCTTTTTTTTTTTTTTGAAAAATAAGATAAAATTCATTTAAAAAAATAATACCTTAGGAAGGTGATAAAGCATCACCCAAAGAGAAAATAAACCCAAGAGGCCCACAATCATCCCACTAGTCC